GGGGTGACTAGTGACATAGTGAGAGAGGGGGTGACTAGTGACAGAGTGAGGGACGGGGTGACAGTGACAGAGTGAGGGAGTCACCCCCTCTCTCACTCTGTCACTAGTCACCCCCTCTCTCACTCTGTCACTAGTCACACCCTCTCTCACTCTGTCATTAGTCACCCCCTCTCTCACTCTGTCACCAGTCATCCCTTCCTTCCCTCACTCTGCCACTAGTCATCCCTTCCCTCACTCTGTCACCAGTCACCCCTTCCTTCCTTCACAATGACAGAGTTAGGGAGGGAGTGACTAGTGACAGAGAGAGGGATGGGGTGACTAGTGACAGATTAGTGACAGAGTGAGGAGGGGGTGACTAGTGACAGAGGGAGGGGGTAACACAGTGACAGAGTAAGGGGGTGACACAGTGACAGAGTTAGGGAGGGAGTAACTAGTGACAGAGAGAGGGATGGGGTGACTAGTGACAGTCACCCCCCCCTCACTCTGTCACCAGTCATCCCCTCACTCTGTCACTAGTCACCCCTTCCCTCCCTCACTCTGCCACTAGTCACCCATTCCCTCACTCTGTCACTAGTCTCCCATTCCCTCCCTCTGTCACTAGTCTCCCCTTCTCCTTCCCTCTGTCACTAGTCACCCACTCCCTCACTCTGTCACCAGTCACCCCCACTCACTGTGTCTCCCCCTCACTCTGCCACCACTCAACCCCTCCCTCCCTCACTCTGCCACCAGGTACCCCCTCACTCTGCCACCTGTCACAACCTCCCACACTCTTCCACCTGTCACCTTCTCCCTCACACACTCTGTCACCTGTCACATATGCATTCACACAGACACTATATACAAAAAAGCACATGTAGTCATCCAGACATGCACAAGTGCATTCACACAGACTCAAATACAAACATGCATTGATACACAGGTCTTCACAATACACACATCCAAAGGAATGCCGTATTATGAATTATATTTAACATTTATTAAAATGCACATATATTTGGCCTTCAAAGGGCCTGGGATCTAATTTTGCCCGGGGGCCCCAAAGGCTCTCAGTCCGCCCCTGGGTGGACAGTTAAGAGAATGGGCTGCACAGGGTTCTGTCCACAAAACGGGCAGGTCCATTCATCAAATTGCAGGCCTGGGGCAGGCCCACCCCTGAACAGGGTGAGAGGCTAGCCAAACTGACAGACATTCACAGTCCGAGTGCCCAGTCAACTCCTGCATTTTAAAATCGATTGGCAGATTTTAAAATGTGGGATATTTTCACTGGAAGACTGTCCTGCAGCACCAGACTGGGACAAAAATTCAACTTAGGCAGTTAAGGGCAGAGCTATGGTGTCATGTCATCACCAATGACAAGCAGGCCCAACCCCCAATGAGTATGTTAATGTGATGCCCCTCCAGAGAAAATGTCCTGTTTTTTTGTGTGACTTGTCTATGGTGTCCCCAATAGTAAGATACCAGAGAACATGACTGTTAAAGTGTTTTGTGCATGTTTGGGAATGTTGTTTGTGAATTTCATGTGTGTAGAAGAGACTGTTTGTGTTGTAGTGTGTAAAGAGGTCTATTTGTGGTTTACTATGTGTGGCTAGGTGCCCTAGTGTGTGCATTTTATTTTTATGGACTGTGTGTGAGTGTTTATAAGGCATATAGAGTGTGTGGTCCTAGGGGGTGTTGTATGTGCATGTAATGGCTGTACTATGTGTGTGCGTATCTAGGGGCTACAGGGGTTGTGTGTGCATGAGTATTAGCGTTGTAGTGCACATTTGTGCATAGGTGTAGTAATGTTTGTGTATAAATGGTTTAGTGTACATGTGTTTATAGGAGGTATCATGTGTGTGCATAAAGTTATAGTGAGTGCATAGGGGATGTAGAATGTGTATAGGGGTACACTGTGCACAAGAGGTGTAGTGTGAATAGCACAATAGAAAGTTTATGTATATTAGGGGGTATAGTGCGTATATATAAGGGATATAAAGTGTGTGTGAGTGCATGGGGGTTTAGTGTGTGTTTATAGGTGGTATAGAGTGTGTGTAGAGCATTAATGTGTGTGTGTAAGGAGCATAATGTGCATGCTTATAGGGGGTATAGAGTGTGTGAATGTAGTGTGTGATAGATGGTATAGTGTGTGTAGTGTATTTGTATGTGTAGGGGTTATAGAGTGTGTGTAGTGTGTTTGTGTAAGGGCAGAGTCTGTAGTGTGTGGGCTTAGAGTGACATAATTAGATTAGATTTATTTATTTATGTATTTATTTTTTTTCAACAAAATTTGTTAGAGGGGAGTACTGTTCAACCTGCCATATAGACCAGCCTCCATAGCCCTTGAATTAAAAGGTGCCCTTAAAGTATTATTACCACTTTATTGATAAAACTGTGCATACTGAGATCTTATCCATTTTCACTTCACCATATTACCACTTCAAATTAGGAGCTGGCAAAGCAACATTAAATATAAATTACAATAAAAGCTCTCTGCTAGACAGCTAAATTATCTGGCTATTACCAAAAAATAGCCAGTGGTCTTAGAACAGACTATATCTCAGGCCTAAAATGTAATATTCTGAAGCCATAGCTTGAGAAAGGTCACCTTTTTGGCAGGGCCAGATTTACATGTCAGGCGCCTGAAGGCACAAAATTCTAAGGCAGCTCCTGCTCCCCAACCCAACAAAAGGCATATAAATAAGTATAATGCATTTATTAACTTAACAATGCTGCACTATGAGCTTGCCTCTGTAGCCATGCCCCCTCATGCCAGAAAGACGTCTTTATCAAATGTTTGCTCACCGTCTCAACCTCAACAGCACCAAATGAGCTGCTTCTAATTTACCACCTAGTTGCAGACAGTCAGATAACATATAGCAGGTAGTGATATAATTCAGTACTGTCAGTGGTTGAGCTGTGTACATACATTTGATGAGGAAGTCTTCCCCTGGAGTGGAAGGGCGTGGATAAAGAGGCAGGCCTGTGGTGCAGTACTCTTCAAAACATTGAATCCTTTATGCAAAAACTATAAAGATAATAATTTGAGCATGCAAAAATTAAATAAAAAATACAGCATATTAATAAGGACCAAATCTTTCAAATGCAGTAAAGTTGAATTTGTTCTTAGTGTCCCTTAAAGCTAAAAAAAAGGATAAGTATGCAAAAAATATGCCCCCTATTAAAGAGGCACTTACAGACAGTGGCGTACATACCGGGGTCGCAGGTGTCGTGGCTGCGACTGGGCCCAGCCCACCGGTATGCACGCCAGCCTCTTCTACTGGGGGTCGTCATATTCCGGCTCCGGCATCAGTGCGGTGCACGTAAGGGAGCTGGGCAGAGAGCGCTCAGGGGAGAGTGCTCCCTCACGCGCGCCTGCCCGGTGACCGGCCGCCCAGCAGCACCACTGACACTCACTAGCAGACACACACACACACACTCTAACACTCACATACAGTGTGTGTGAGTGTTAGAGTGTGTGTGTGAGTGTTAGAGTGTGAGTGTTAGTGTGTGTCTGCTAGTGAGTGTCAGTGTGTTAGTTTGTGTGTGTCTGTTATTGAGTGTGTGTCTGCTAGTGAGTGTCAGTGTGTGTTAGTGAGTGTGTGTTACTGTGTTACTGTGTGTGTCTGTTACTGAGTGTGATTGTGTGTGTCTGTTAGTGAGTGTGTGTTTGTCAGTGAGAGTGTATGTTTTGTAAGTGAGTATGTATGTATGTCGCTGAGTGTGTCTCTGTCAGTAAATGTGTGTGTGTGTGTTAGCTAGTGTGTATGCGTCTGTTCGTGAGAGTGTGTGTGTGTGTGTTTAAAACCCCTTCAGCACTTACCTTTCTCCAGCGCCGGACTCCCTTGACGCTGGGGATCCCTCCGCCCCATTCCACCTCTCAGCTCTGAATGCGCGTGCGTGGCAAGAGCAGCATGCGCATTCAAACCGCCCATAGGAAAACAATGCTTTCCTATGGACATCCAGCGTCTTCTCACTGTGATTTTCACAGTGAGAATTGCGAAAGCGCCTCTAGCGGCTGTCAGTGAGACAGCCACTAGAGGCTGGATTAACCCTCAGTGAAACATAGCAGTTTCCCTGAAACTGCTATGTTTTCAGCTGCAGGGTTAAAACTAGAGGGACTTGCACCCAGACCAATTCATTGAGCTGATGTGATCTGGGTGTCTGTAGTGATCCTTTAAATGTGTGTGCATCTGCATGCACTGGCGTACATACCGCGGTGTGTGTGCACATCTGCATGCACTGGCGTACATACTGCGACCAGGTGCCCGCCGCCATGTGTTGCGGCCCCGGCCCGTGCAGAGTAAACGTGGGGGGGGCCACGGATCAATTTTCGCACCGGGGCCCCATGGATCGTGTGTACGCCACTGCCTACAGACATGTGCCTTCTCTGCCTAATGGGAAATCCGGCCCTGCTATCTCACTATTAACTGTGTATTGCAGTGTATGCTTTAGAATTATTGCAGAAGCATGCAAGAGAAAAGAAAAGAAACAACAAAAAAAGAATTAAATCGTAATAAAAATAAAAATTACCTGTAACATGTGACCGAACACAATTTATTATTATAAAAGGAGTAAGTCAGCAACCCTGAAATGCTATCTTAACGTTTATATAAGTGAAGGTTATGAGTTTCCTCCAGCGGAATAGCGGTTTCTGTAATATGAATGTGACAGTTACGCAGTATTCATTTTAGTAATTACTTAACGTAAGATAAGAGTGTGATTGTAAGAAGATGACTGTATGAACAGCCATGCTCACTATTACATAACAAGCTTCTTTCACATGCTCTGTGAGTGTGATAGGTACTCTACCAAATATATCAGATTTCTACTGTTGAGAAAAGATACAGTATTATAAAATTAAAAATAATGCAGGAAAAGCCCTGAAATAAATCCAATTAATGTTAGGAATAATATTTTATCTATTAAGATTATGAGATTTTGTACAGAGTGACGTGTAATCCTGACAAGCAATACTCCGTATTACTCGGAAAGCCCAGCATTAAAATGATGCATGACAAACTAGTACTATATACACACCGAAATTAATATAGTTACTGATCCTTCAAATGCATAAATAAAAATCTTGAAAAAAGTGTCATAATGGTAAATAAAAATGCATAATACACCTGCAAGAACTATGATTTACACAATATTGTATTAATTCATTCCAGACAGGCAGAAAAGAAAAAAAGTTCAATATTGTAATAACTTTATAATAATGCTAAAAAAATAAATAAAAAAAATAAATAAAAAGATTTACTCATGTCAGCTTTTGCTAGCTTGCAAATGCATTCAGGGGTAATAAAGTTATTACCTAATTATATACTACTCATTTTACCAACCTTTTAAATACTGAGTTTACCATACCAAACATTGTATCTATGGGTATGAGAGATGATGTTGCTGCAGCACAAAGCAATTAGCTATCACCAGGCCCGGACTGGCCATTGGGGCGCGATGGCCATGGGCCAAGGCTGGCAGGGAAGATCAGTGCACCTCCCCTGCCGGCTCATGCAGGGACAGTGCTATGCAGGCGCCGGTCCTGCTGTGTGCCTTCATGGGCCGGTGGGGAGATAATTTGTCTCCCCATCGGCCTATGAAGGCACACAGCAGGGTCGTGAGGAAGACAGCGTTGCCATGGTAACTGC